AACTCACAGCCTCCTGATTGTGAGAGTTCTACCTGTAGGCCACCACACAACTCGAAACATCTCCAGTAATAATTCCCCATCTCCATTCCCAACCCCTTCCCTGCTTCTGACGGAGGGGTACAGTACCCGTGGGGGGTCGGACTGCAGAGCCACAAGGTAGTTTTCCAGGGCGACCCGATGACGCTCATCCAACATGGCTTCTACGTGGGCCAGGTGAGTTTCCACGAGTTGTTGTTTTTCGCTCGCAGCTTCCTTCTCGAGGGACTTGGCCATCGTCTGGAATCTCTGGAGAAGGATGGCGTGGAAAGAATTTGTATTAGCTGATGACAGAGAGATCGGTTCCTTTCGACTGTAAATAACTGCTTTTGGATCCATTGGTTCAGTGGTGGGTTTCCGGATCCTGTTCCAACAGGTACGGTTGGAACGGGCCCGGCGGCGTCCATGTGGACATGCGCAGTGCGCGGATGTGTCTTAGCGCCTCTGCGAGCCTCCGTGATGCTCCAGCTGCTCAGCGGAGTGTCGTGCAGGCGCTGTACGCACCATGCCTGGAAGCGCTGAAGACTTAAAAGACTGGTAAGGATGGCCCTCCGGAGCAGACTGGTAAGGATGGCCCTCCGGAGCAGACTGGTAAGGATGGCCCTCTGGAGCACCGTACTGGAACAGAATCCGGTGCTTTAAGCAGGCTCCAGCACGCCCGTACGGGGGTGTACCGCCTGCAACCCACCACTGCATCGATTGCATAATGCCTGTCCAAAGACAGAACTCAGCTTTTGCTCTTACTTAAGTTCTGTTTGGAAGATACAGCTCTGAACACTTAATTCCGTGATGGGAAAGCACCTCCTCGCACCCTCCTCTCTTCTCCCCTCCCTCCTTACTTTCTTCCTTTCCTCTCCTCTCTTCCCCCCTCGCTCCCTACTTCCTTCCTTCCCTCTGTCCCCTCCTCCCTCTCTCCTTCCTTTCTCCCTCCCCCTCCTTCTTTCTTCCTCCCCTCCTCCCCCTCTCTCCTCCCCTCCCTCCGCCCCTCCCTCCTTCCTTCCTCTTGGAAGCCCACACATCTTAAAATTGCCAATGTTGAGAAAGTCTGGCTTAATTAGGCCACACCTCCTTGGTCCAACATCTCTTAAGTGAAAACGGAGTTTCCTAGCCTTAGTTTGGTGGTAAACCATTTCCACAAGGCCTCCTCCTCTTAACAGATTTATACATTAATCTATTTCAATTCTAGGAATACATTGCCTTCGTTCAAATCTGAGAGGTGGCGACTGACCTGCATCAGGGCCTGCCTCTCGGCCTTTGGAAGGTTCTTGGCTTGGATCTCCGCTTCCTCCCATTCCTTCTTCACCTAAAGAATTCGGAAAGATGGGAAACCTGGTTAAGGTAGGCCTGCTGGAATAAGGACCGTGTAAGTGTGGCAAAAGTCCGTTTCGGTAACCAAATACCCTTCCTGTCCCGTACGCGTCCCCTCCCATAGAATTTCTAAAGCACTTTCTCTCAAACCTGGTCAGACTAATAAATGTTTGCAATTTAAGCTTGAAAACTAGCTGAGGATGTTTGTGGCTTTTACTGTTAAGGAACAAAAAAAATCCTGAAAGGAAAGAAAACCTAAGTCTTCAAAGTGAGGGAGAGTCAGGAAAACACTCCTTCTGGGCTGTAGACTGAGTTTAATCTGGGAGGTCAGAAGGAGGAACGTAGGTGTGGCCTCAAAGATTACCTCAGTCTCCAGGGCAAAAGGGCTGGGTTAATACCCATGTGTTACTCCTCCCACACCTCACTTTGGAAACAACGCAAGCACACATCCTTCACAACCTATATAATTGAAACTGGAAACCCGATATTGCATTAATATTGCACTATACCGTAGTATTCAATATAGTTGCTGCTCCGGGATAGAAGCTGTTTTTCAGCCTATTTGTCCTTGTTTTTTTATTGTCCTGTACCGGCTGCCAGATGGTAAAAGTTTAAAAAAAAAAGGGGGGGTGGCCAGGATGAGATGGATCTTTAAGAATGTTTTGAACTTTCTTAAGGCAACTGGAGCTACGAGGTTCTTCCCCAGAGGAGAGAGGGCAACCCGGAGTAACCGTAACACAACGGCTGATAGGAAAGACTCACTCGATCCATGCGGTTACGGTGCCGGATCTCCAGCTGCTCCTTGGCTTTCTGGAAACGGGCGTGTTCATTGTCATCAGCAGGCGTTTCGAAGTAGACGTCGACGTCGTCGGTGGGCAGAGGAGTTGGTGGAACTAGAAGAGGACAAAAGGGAGGGACTTGCTAGGTAAGGGGTCTCCAACCTTGGCAACGTGAAGACTTGTGGACTTCAACTCCCAGAGTTCCTCAGCCAACTGGCTGAGGAACTCTGGGAGTTGAAGTCCACAAGTCTTCACGTTGCCAAGGTTGGAGATCCCTGTGCAAGGTGTGGGGTTACTTTTGGTTTACCAAAGAGGGGGGTCCCTTATCTCTTTCTTGCTCTCCAACAATGGTCAATCTTGAAGAGGGATCAGTTAATGGTAAGCACTGCTGACAATAGCAATAGCACTTATATACCGCTTCACAGTGCTTTACAGCCCTCTCTAAGCGGTTTATAGAGTCAGCATATTTGCCCCCAGCAATCTGGGCCCTCATTTTATTGACCTCGGAAGGATGGAAGGCTCAGTCAACCTTGAGCTGGTCAGGAGTGACCTCCTGGCTGTGGGCAGAGTTAGCCTGCAATACTGCATTCTAACCACTGGGAAGGGAAGGAGGGAGGGAGGGAGAGAGGAAGAAAAGAAGGAAGAAAGGAAGGAAGATAGCAAGAGCAATTATACCGCTTCACAGTGCTTTACAGCCCTCTCTAAGCCATTTACAGAGTCAGCATATTTCCCTCAATAATCTGGGTCCTCATTTTACCCACCTCGGAAGGATGGAAAGGTTGAGTCCACCTTGAGCCTGGTGAGATTCGAACTGCCTAATTGCAGGCAGCCGGCAGTCAGCAGAAGTAGCCTGCAGTACTGCACTCTAACCACTGCAACGCCGAGGCTCAATGCAGTCCTCCTGCTTCT